AGGAATCTCTTCCAAAGATACATTGGCAAATAGAAAAGACATATGTGTGAAATTATTTATGGTAACCACTACTGATGGGCTCTACTTTACAAAACACTGGAAACAAACCAGGGACTGATTGAGTATAGTATGGTACATAACCATCATGGAGTATTTTCAAGTGTAGTGCAGTAATCACCGAGATAAATGCTTTGTGGAAAGAAATCAGTAGGCAAACCAATATGTGTAGTATGTTATCTTTCAATGAATAAAGCAGGAAATAAAAATATATATAAGTGTATGTATTATTTGCTTATATCCAAATAGTATAAAAACTAATAAAATGAATACTGTATGGTAATAGAAGTAGCACAGGATAAACAGAGATGGAAGCGAGATTTGTCAGAATACAGTCCTTTGGGATTTAATTTGGAAACTGTGTAAAGCTGTACAGTATTATAAAACAAAATTATACTAAAATGAAGGAAAGACTGAATAGAAAGCAGAATTAAGCAAATGTGATGGCACACACCTGTAATCACAGCAATCAGGAGACAAAGGCAGGAGGATTGTCATAATTTCAAGGCCAGCGTTGGCTCCATAGTGAGTCGAAGGCCAGCCTGAACTACAAGACCCCGTCTCAAAAAAAAAAAAAAAAAAGCATGAAACAAATGAACTTAACTGTGTATTATTGATGAATTAAACTCAGCAGAATTACTTCAAGTACCAAAGGAAGGTTATTTGCACTTCTGATGAGGTATAAAGGACCTAAGGCAAAAAGAACTGCAAAGAAGCCTTGAGTAGTTGTCGTTTTTTTGGTTTTTTTAGGATAAAATTTTTTTTATTTTAAAAAGAAAAAAAAAGAACAAAATTTTCAAACAAGGTAATAGAATAACAATGTTTAGTACATTGCATATTTTTAAATTGGTTACTCAGAGTACAGGTATCAGCATTTAATTGTCCAAACAATAGTAGCACAAACCTTTCTTTTCAATGAACTAAGAGAAATTGGTAGTATAACTTTTATATATTTTTTCTTTTTCTTTTTTTTTTTTTTTTTTGCTTTTCCCTTCTTTCCTCAATTCCCTGATCTAAATTGTTTTTAATATAGTGTTGGTAATAAAGCTATTGTTTTCTGATAGTATCGCATATATTTTCTAACTGTACATATTAAGATAAAGAAAGTATGTGTTAATATCACAAGGACGTCAGCTTAAGAGGTATAAATATAAAATCAGAGTAAGTAAACATGAATTTTATGCTATATGAATTACTCAGTAAAGCTGTCAAGAAGGAAAAAGTACAAATCCTGTAAGCCTAAACTCGAATTGAGAATACCACTATGAATGTGTATTGTTTTTTCTTCTTTAAAAAGTTTCTTCCTAGTTTTGTACAGCTGCAAAGGCCTGCAAAGGCCGAGTAGCGCACAGCAGTGTGAGCCTCCTTTGCCACACAGGTGCGGATCTCTCCGGAGCACTTCCCGCTCCTTGGGAAAGTGACCGAATCCAGGTGGGGGCGCAAAATGTATGAGAAAAGCATGGAACGTCTTTTCATATAAGAAAGCTAGGACATTACCAGAGCTTACTAGGGTGTGTATCCAAAGGGTTAGGAGCCAAGTTGAAAAGGGTCCACCAGCCACATACTTTGAGCATCAAAGAGAATGGTAGTAATAATGCATCTGCCATATATCAAATATGTTAATATGTATAAATTCTTAGATGGGCTTGGTGGTGCATGGCTGTATTCCAAGGAATGGGGAGGCTGAGACAGGAGGACTGCAATGAGTTCATGGCCAGCCTGGGGTACATAGTGAGTTCAACACCAGCCTGGACTGTATAGTGAAACCGTGTCTCCAAAAGAAAAATATATAAATTCTTAGTAATTGAAGGGAATGAAAACTCATTATATTACCTTTGTACTAAGGAATCACCCCAATCATTTTGAAAATTGGCAAATAAAGGGGAAAAATCAAGCATTTATCTCATCTTTCCTGTATAACCAACTCTTTAAGATAACTAAGAGGGCCGGGGATATAGCTCAGCAGCACAGTGCCTGCCCAGCACGCACGAGGTCGTGAGTTTGATTGCCGGTACCAAAACAAAACAAAACAAAAAAGATAACTAAGAATTGAAAGAAAGATTATGAAAGTTTATACAAGCTTCTCTAAAGAAATGGATGTGGTGGCACATGCCTGTAATCTCAGCACTCAGGGAAAAAATGAGGCAGGATAAGCTCACGCCTAGTCTGAACAACTCAGTGACTTAATAAGACCCTGTCTCAAAACATTTTTAAAAAATAGAGCGGGGTGTAGGGGTGTAGCTCAGTGAAAACGCCCTGTATCCAGTTCCGAGCACTGCAGAAAGGAAGTATGAAGAATCCTCAGTGGCTGCTAAAGGCGTTGTGTGCAAAGCTGCTGTGCAAAACTTTCTAAGCTCCAGCCTAGAATGTTTGAACCTAGTGATTAATCTTTAACACCACAGGGAGGAAACCGTATTCTATCGAGGATTGTCATAAAGCCTTCTTGCCAGAAGACTGAACCTCAATCTGATCAAGCCTCAGGCTCTAGCTACAGTTTACAGAGCACAGGGAACAGAGGAGCATGCTAGAAAATATTTGAATACAATTAGAAAAATGTGGAGGGCTGGGGATGTAGCTCAGCAGCACAGGTGCCCGCCTGGCAAGTGCAAGGTCTTGAGTTCGATTCCCAGTACCAAAAAAAAAAAAAGGAAAGAAAGAAAAATGTTGGATGCAGGGAACTCTATAGGATACGTAGCTCATTGTCTTGAACAGCAAATTATCTGTGCAGTCGGGTTATGAGTGTTTGTATGTGTGTGCTTACCTGTATTTTCCAAAGTTAATACACATTATAGGTTACACAAAAATAATATATATTGCTCCCTTCCTACTGAACACCACTCCTTTTTCTTTTTCTTTCTTTCTTTCTTTCTTTCTTTCTTTCTTTCTTTCTTTCTTTCTTTCTTTTTTTTCTCTCTCTCTTTCTTTCTTCTTCCTTTGCCTTCCCTTTAAAAAGAAAAGTACTTTTAAAAATAAAAATTAACTTCCTAATAATGTAAAAGAGAAGGTATATGGAAAAGGAAAAATAGATTCAGATCATTTAGTTAACTCTTAGAAGATTTTATTAGCTTATGATATTCAGTACACATTGGGAAGCAGATAAAATCCTGTCAAGCTTGATTTAGAAATTTTACAAAGATTTTATAAGCCTAATTCTTTTTTTTTTTTTTTTTTTTT